ATCAAGCAAGCCATAGCTGCCCTGAAAAAGTCTTATGATGGTGGACCTGGAGGGATCCCTTCATCATTTGCGAAATATGGAGGTAGAGAATTCCCACTATTTTGTTTGAAACTTTCCAACCTATCTATGGAATATGGGACCTATCCACCTGTATGGGAAACACCTCTTATCACCCCTAGATTCAAAACAGGATCACGTAGTGATATTGTTAACTGTAGGCCAATTAATTTAACATCCGTGCTCTCAAGATCCATGGAAAAAATCATCCACAAACAGCTAATATCATTTTTACTTTCGAATAGTTTGATTAGCTCATCCCAACACGGGTTTATGACTAAACGCTCATGATTCACATTGCACCTGGAATTTTTGATCAAATAACCCAGAGAAGAGATGTTGGTCAGTCAGTGATAATTCCTTACTTCGATGTTAGTAAGGCTTTCGACAGTGTCTCACGCAAACTTCTAAAACTCTCATCATTTGGCATACAGAATCCCCTTTCGTCTTGGTTCAAATCTTTTTTAGAAGAACGTAGCCAAGTCGTTCGCTTTGGATCTTGCTACTCTCAACATGTGAATGTAAGCAGTGAGGTTCTACAAGGAAGTGTGATTGGTCCATTACTCTTTCTCCTTTTTATCAATGACGTGTGTTCCCTCTTTCAGTATGGTTAACCTTTCCTTTTTGCCTATGACCTAAAAGTAGTTTATTCATTCTCTTCTCCCACCAAAGAGAACCATATTTCGGAGGTAGTCCAAGAAGAAATAAACATGTTATACGAATGGACTGTTTCATGGAATTCGCCACTTAAGGTTGTTAAAAGTGGATTCATTCACATTGACCGCTGCCTTAACTAAAATCTAACTATACACAAACATACACTTGTAGTGAACTACTTTTGTCAAGAGAACGCGATTGGTTTAATGGAAGCAATCACTATTATAGCCAGTTGTATCAGTGATTGTTTTATTGTACTTGTTCGTTTAACTGTACTAAAGACACCCATTATTCCTCCATACTTTCTTCCATTGATTGTGACCCTGCACGAATTCGGTTACGCTCAATAACCGCACTTGTAACCTAGCACGATGTCGGTATCTTTTCGATACCACGAGATGGCCAGCAAATACATCTCGACTACAGCCATCAACTGCCTTCTGATATTTGATCTACGGGGGATCTTATCGGTTAACTGACACGTAGTCTTCCTGTAGTGATGATCATAGCCAACCGCAACTCGACGGCACGCTACATATTTAAGCCTCCTAACACTGTTTGTGACTTGGGTTTAAGATATTTCAACAGTTTGAACTTTTCTGAGCACATTGCATCATAAGTATCCAAAGCTAGAAAGCTCATTGAATTCATAATGATAAACTTCAGTAATATCGAATAGAGATTATTATTATACAGAAAATGTATCTTACCCATTCTTGAATATGGTATTTTAGTTTGCAGTAATTGCAGGCACAATGACCTGACTAAAACTGAAGGTGTTCAAAGAAGGTTCACCAAAGCTGTTCTGGGGTATTCCGACAACAAAGACTCTCACCAAAGATGTCAACAACTCAACTTAGAACCTCTTTGGATCAGACGTATCAATTTAAATCTTGTTTTTGTCTACCGGCTTATTAACGGCATTTCCTACTCTTCGGTATCCACCCCTTCATACCTTATGATATCACCCCACAATCTACGCAATAAGGAGAATATTCTAGCGATTCCAAGAACCCACACAAACTTACGTCAGAATTTTTTCCTTATTCGCTACTCAACCATGTGGAACAGACTGCCAGTGAACCTCCATTGCAGCGAAACTACAACCCGGTTCAGAAGTCTCGTTGATGATTTTCTTTCCGAAAGTGGATTATGTCACCTATTGAATATCAGTGTATTCAATAATTATTTATACAAACAAGGTCCGTCATCCATTTAATTGCCTGAAAAGCAAAATGAAACCTTTGAAACTTTTCACGTCTGTTTTATTTTATTTCTATTTATCTCAATATATGAAGTCTGTTTATGTTCGTATTTATCATTATTACCGTTATTATTACCATTATTAGTTCCCCGACGCATTAGATATTCTTTTTATCTCTTATCGTTCTAAACATACTTAACTCCATATTGTCCTTTGAAACCAACTGTGACTTTCATAGCATCATTCTTAATCATTATTGCACAAATATTTCTACTAATATCCGGTTTCACTCTGTATACTATTACATAAATCTAAATGTATTCATCCGAGTGCACTAAAGGATTTTTATTTTATTTTTATCAGTTGCTGGTTTACGTCTGAGGTTGATATTCATTACACAATTATTATTTTTATCAAGGATGAACCTTTTCACTAGGTGTTCACTTCTTTTCTCTCTCTTCTTTCCTCCTAAATAAATATTATTCTTTAGATTACGAAGTTTTTAATTAAGACGATATTTTCTGTTACATTTAAATTAACTTCTCAGACTTGTTTTATCTTCACTATGCATATATCACACATACATATTGATATTTTGTCATCCTTCTCACTTAATTGAGACTTTCATAGCGTCACTCCAAAAGATAACTGCACAACAATTTATTCCAGCGTCATATCTTACTGCAATAAGAAGTCATTTTTCTTATTTTCTTTACTATCTCATTTTTGTTACTAATTTGACGACACAAACATAGTCCTTTATTCTTGTTCTGTGTTCATAAACATGCCTATTAAACTATTTCACATCTCCTTTATATCTATTCCCTTATTTTCTTCCTTTCTTTCTTTAAATTCAATTCAATATTCTCGACTACGCAGAACATGATACTTGGTATTATTGGCTTGTATCTTCCCATTGTGGTTTAAGACTGCAACTGATCAGTCTGTTATTGTAATATGTACATACTGTGCGTATGCCTCGATATTTACTTACTTCACAACCTTTTTGTGGGCAACGACGGATAGTGGCTAGCAGTGGAATCCAGGACGTGCATTTCGTCCCATTTGGGACTCGTCAGCTGGATGTGCCAGGTATCAGGTACATCCAGCTGACGAGTCCCAAATGGGACGAAATGCACGTCCTGGATTCCACTGCCAGCCACTATCCATCGTTGCTTATAGAAATACACAGAACATGATTTATCATTATTTTATTATTTTTACTCTGTTTTTTTCAAATATGGCAAATATAATGCTAACATTATTGAAACTTTTGTTTTATTGCATTTTTGAAGAAACCCGAAATGGTTTTTTAACAACACTCATGTAACCAAAAGATGTTTGTGAATAATAATAGTAACATTAATGACTGATATGCAGACACGTGCTCAATCAGCTTCACACATAATTTTTCATAGTAGATTAAGTGTGGATTAAATTAGCAGTCAAATAATACAATAGTTGAATGGGCTTACTACACATCATTGCAATTGGTGTGTTAACTGAGACTTTAACTCCGCCTGTGGCTCTTCTAGAGTTACTGCCGGTCCCAAGCCCGGGTAAAGGAGGAGGGTTGGGCATGGGGTTAGCGTCCCCATCCCGTAGAAAACTAACTCGCTAAAAAAACGCTTACCAGAAAAAATAATTCAAACCATTTTAACTCTGCCCTGAGAGTTAGAAGGTCTTCATTTAGAAGAATTATGACGCTTCATGGTGAAAGCCGAGTTCCTTCGGAAGCCACGAGGCCGATCCTCCTTCTAACAACCAGAGCAAACATTTTTATAGCTACATGGAACGTTCGAACAATGTGGGAAACCGGGCAGACCAGTCAAATAGCAATGGAAATGAGGAGATACAACTTAGCAGTACTGGGAATCAGCGAAACCCACTGGACCCAAGCTGGACAGAAAAGGCTAGCTACGGGAGAGATGCTGCTATACTCCAGCCACGAAGAGGAAAATGCTCCACACACTCAGGGAGTCGCTCTTATGCTGTCCAAAGTAGCACGAAATGCACTTGTAGAATGGGAATCTCATGGATCCAGAATCATCAAAGCATCATTCAGAACAAAGAAGGAGGGGATCCCAATGAATATTATCCAATGTTATGCACCCACCAATGATAGCAACGACGAAATTAAAGATCAGCTCTACGAGCGGCTGCAATCAATCACAGAGAAGTGCCCAAGAAAGGACTTCACCATTCTAATGGGAGATCTAAATGCCAAAGTCGGAATAGACAACACTGGATATGAAAATATTATGGGACGACATGGACTGGGAGAAAGAAACGAAAATGGAGAAAGATTTGCAAATCTATGTGCATTCAACAAATTGGTCATAGGAGGCACAATATTTCCACACAAACGTATACACAAAGCTACATGGATCTCACCGGACCACACTACAGAGAACCAGATAGATCATATTTGCATCAACAAAAAATTCCGAAGGACAATATAAGATGTGAGAACCAGGAGAGGAGCTGATATAGCTTCAAATCACCACCTAGTTGTGGCCAATTTGAAACTGAAGCGAAAAAAGAACTGGACAAGTGGACAAACAGCAATACAATAATACAATACAATAATAATACAATAATCAACGCGCTAATTTTAGTTAGCTTTTTTTCGCGTTCATATTTGTCTGGTCCACCACAAATCTGTGCGTGGTCTATCCAGACAGGATAGAATAGCATTTATTTATTGTGATTGGTAATTTTCTCGCATCCTTCATCACCTTCCTTATTTATTGTAATTTATATTTGATCAATTCAACAATTATTCGTTGGATAGCTGGGTGGTCATATTTGTTTAAGTAACAATGTACATTTAAATTTATGGTGGATCATAGAACTGTCATTTTACATCAACCGGGGCAAGGGCACCTATCTAACCCACCTAGACAGCCATTCTTCAGTCCAAAACTTATTTTGGATCTCACAGTGCGTAAAACTGATAATCGCTATTATTCTAGTACTTTATATATATACTATCTGATTGTCGCGCTTTAATATATGTATGGCAATACGGGCAAGAAAAAAATAATGTAAAAGAAATTCATATTGCTCTATCGCAAAAGCAATGAAATCGCAAGACATTCAAAATTTAGTAACTGACTTCCAACTAGAGAAACGAAAAAGTTTTTTTGCTATTCACTTGCTACCTCTGATATTTCGATGTCTAAAAATGACAGAAGTAAAGTTAATTGATCAACAAATTAGAAATCTGTATGAAATTCATCTACACATTATACATCTGAATCCTTACACCACAAAACGTTTAGTTTCGATAACCCGATTGCTCTAATTTCACGCTTGTGTTCCTTGAAATTTTTGTCTGTTGGCTCCATCACCAAATGAAAGTGAATCCTACGAGGTGTCTGAGTCGTCAACCTACGTTTTCCTTCGTTCATTTCTTTTCAATGTTCTCTCAGAAACTAACATTCATGATCCCCCAGAACACAAAAATAGACACGAGTCCATCAAACGCTGAACGCCCCAACATTAACTGATGTTATTTCAAGGTCTGAACTCTGCTAATAAAAACCGTTTAACATTTATTAAAACAAACTAATGACCACAAAAATGTCTCTATAAATTATCTCATAAACATTAAACCATAGAATATTTATTACGAAAGCTTTTAAAAACAAGGACAGAGGTTTTAAAGTCATTGTTTGGTGCTGTTATATGATTGTTGTATACATCTAGCGTAATGTCTTACAGAGTCCCGGGAATTTGAGTCAAGGTCATTAATATTACGTCTTCATTCTTTCGTTTTATAGGTGTAATTGTAGGTTGCCCTTTTTCCGTAAGTACTTTCGTGTACTTCGAATAGCAGCACAAGTTACTACTTACCACTCCTTCAATGCATAGCATTCTAATCCTACACGTTTCTTTTATTTATCCTATTTAGATATTATTGTAGCTGATCGAACTGCTGTTGCTCAACGATAGTACTTCTTTTAGGGTTCATTAAAAAGTATTGTGAAAGTAGAATAAAATTCGGACTGTCACTGGCCGGACGCTATACTATTCGTGTGTTTTTCGTCCGTAATATTTTTGAACAGTGAACACATCTATTTCACAGAATACCTGAAGAAAGATGAGCGTGCTTCTGTTTATCCCAAATATACTTGGTACGAAACGTTCATCTATGTAACTTTTTATGTGGTAAATTTTTTTGCGTACTTGGAATACTATAAGAAGTAATATTTTGTCAGATCTTCATTGCCTACATTTTCTTTTTATATTACTATTTTATATGTGTACCATTGCATTTCGTGGGTGGTAGTTACTGCTTTTATATGTGGTCTAGATGTTTGTTATAGAACTAATACGAATTTTCATGTAGTTTCCAACGTCCGATCTGCTAAATGCTAGTAGTTTTCTCATTCTTCACTTAGTTCCTATTATAATATAAGCTGCTTGCCTTCACACTATAGATTTTTCGGATAAATATCTTTGACGGCATTTTGAGTCCGAGTTGTTCACTAGCAGATTATTCTTTCGTCCTTCTTATTTCATCGACACGTGGATTGTGTCTTCACGAGCGGATTGAAATGTGCTAGTAATCTTTCGGTACATCAATACACGCGAAACATACAAGCTAATGATCCATAGTTTTGAATTTTTGGCGCATTTTGCTTTGTAATAATCATCAGGAGTCTTTCGTCTTTTGTTGTTTTATTACCACAGCATAGGAACCTAGAAAATACGTTAGGTAGGAAGCATTGTGTTTATAGTCTTTTAAGTGTTTTTGGAAACGTTTCACCACAGTTCTCAAGCGTCACCCTAACCTATATCAAATTAGACAGTTTTTTTTTCAAAAATAGCCACAAACAAAGCAGCCAGGTTTCATGTAACCTGCTTGTCTTAACACTGACCTACAGGTAGGTAGATTGGTGGTGTTAGAGGAACTGTCATCGCCATCTCATATTTTCATTCTAGAGATCTTGGTGGCTAACATTTGTGTTATACTTGATTGCAACATATATCCAAAAGAAATATAATAAAACATAGCTTCAGTTATTTTTCGTAATAAGTAGTCCTTGAACATCTACTCTGATTGCATGCTTTTAGGCATTTACTATTGTTATTATGAGTCTTATCTCTAGTGTAGTTTAGACAAAGAAATCTTTTGGAAATTCCCGAAAACTAATGATTCGAATAGTCCTATGGCGAGCGAACGGTTCAGTGATGAAATCTCTTAAAATATTGCATTCAAGGGGCCGTGTCATAGTAAATATATGTATTTCTTTGCAATAATCTATACCTTTTTGTGATTAGAATCGCAAACTTATTTTGGAAACAGATATATATGAATAAGGTAAACAGGCAGATTTGACAAATGCTTTGAATGTTTTCCAGAGCTTTTAGCAAGAAGACTACTTATAGAATCCAAGTGGTCGTGACATGAGAGGACGTAGTGCGGCTGGTACTATGTTTAGCCCGCATAGGTTATTCTAGCCTTTGAACAGACCAATCTATTCATTCTTCTTAAGCCGCATTTCTACCCTGTCACCTATTCGCTCATTAACTCTGACTGTTTTTTATATGATTGCATATGTGTCAATTACTTACCCTATTCATTACGAACTTACTTAATTACGCTTGTTACCCCTTGTGAAGGAGCATAGGCCGCACACAAGCATTCTCCATCAAACACTGTTCTGATAAACTTATTTTTGCTTGACTGTAAGTATCGATTCACGTTTTGTTGAATCGAGTTGGCTCACATGCCTTCTCCGATTCGTTTCGCTTCGCTCTCTCCTCTCCGCCTTCGCTTTGTTTTTTCTGATCGTCTGTCTGGATCGACGAGCGTATAAAGTACACGTGTTCAAAATCTATTTTCGTATTTCAATTATTTATTTCGGCCATTTACTAACGCAATGTAAGTCAATAAAAATATACGAGGGTGGCCGGGATGTATTGTAGGGGCTGGTCCTATGTTACGGCCACATAGCTTATTCTAGAGTCAGTCAGTAACAACGTAGAACTTCGTACGTACGTACATCAGTTCGAGTTGCCACACCACATTAGCACAGAGATGCACTTGTCGATTCAAATCCCGTAGTGGTAGAGGTAGCTAGATTATAAGCAGAAATCGGGAAGATTAGGGTTTGGAGATGTTATTTAAAGAGTATAATCCAGTGAAATAAATTTGGAAAGAGGAAAAAAGGGACATGAAGAATTCAGAAGATTAGAATTTGGGAGAACACAGAGAGTGGATGCACCTGCGCCATTGCAAACGATTTTGAGCCATGTCATTCAGGGTCTCTAACCATCGGTTGCTATCATCTCGTGGTCCCTACCAGGTAGTCTACACCTACCAACATGACTCAGTCCACTTGTCAGTGACTTCATGGATTTGTGCCATGTTCTGGTCTGGCCACCCCTAGCTTTCTTCCAACCTACTCCTATACCATTGAACATCGTTCGTCGAGGCAGTCGGTCGTTGGGCATACGTAACACGTGTCCCAGCCATCTCAACTGAAGTTTCTAGAGTTCGAACAAACCAATTTATTCATTCATGTTGAATCACAGTTTGACCTTGTTAGTTATTTGCTTGTCAACCTTGACTTTTTATATAAGCTTGTGTGCATTTCTTATCTTACTCATCACATATCTGCAACTTATTTTCGAACTATAAATATTGAGTCACGTGTGATAAAAACGAGTTGGGTCACTCGCCTTTTCCATTGCACGTCATTTTGTTTTGTTTCGCTTTCCGATGAACGATTGTACGAAATATACGTTTCCAAAAATCTATTCTCGTATTTGACTTATTTGATTCCGCTATTCATCAACGTGATTTAAGTCGATAATTATATTCGAGGATTGAAGATATGTATAAGTGGATATTAAGCAGTGAACATTCTACCTGGAGTCATGTCGGGCCAAGAAAGTATATTTTGATTACAGTCGTCCATATGATGGAACTGGAGACAAATATAATGCCACAAAATGATGGCCGAGACTGTGGGTCAGGCAAAACCGAACTTCGATATAATAAGGATATGAGATCAAAACATGACAGTTATGTTCGATGCCTCACTATCACTTTATTGGTTGATAGATAAAAGGGCATCCATTTTATTAGATCATAATCTGATCATATCCACCTTCCACAAGTCACCTTCGAATAATCGAGATCGACATACGTTCTACTATTATAGTGGTTGAATGTTGGTTGTTTTGTCTTCCGGTATCTGTAGGCTTTCGTCAACGACTCTGTGTTGTGGGCAAATGGCCATATATTATTGCATACTATAAACCGACGATTGATTTTCGCCTAATAATTAAAGAATCCCTAAGTACTTGCTAATTGCAAGGAGTGAAATCCTAATCTCCAACAATATGCTACCTGTCGTATTTACTGTAGAACGTAGTCCGAACGTGTCGTCCCGCATTAGGATAATGGGAAGAAATTAACATGATGTGGAACTTTTAGGAAAGTAATCTCAAATGCAATTAAGATGTAAACATAGGAAGTATAGTTCTCAGTCAACAAGTGAAATCATATGATACAAAGTGTAGAATAATAATAAATTCAATATCTAGGTTTGACAAAGATGAAACGTGGATAGAATCGTAGCAACAACTAGGAGTACTTATCCAGATACCTTCCACAGGTTATTTGTTCGTAGTAAGGAAGGACTAAAACTTGCTGATGTTCAGGTTAGACTGGAGATTTTATTCTGAATCCCAACAATCACTGTGTTGAATTACTTCGACTAGCCATTAAGAAAGATAAACTCATGCCGTCTTACTTGATTATTTACTCAGTTCAGTTAATCAATCGCAATCACCGTTTATATATATATATATATATATATATATATATATATATTGCTTCAATAATTCTTCGTTGTGTCTTAAGTAATTTGAAGTTTGTAGAAATATTCAACATTTCACAATTCTACAGTTTACTTTTGTTCACTAATTCTTTATGAGGGAAAAATATCAAATGAACGACACAGCTGTCGTGGGCTTTTACCATTGTTTAAAGGTATATTTGGTACTGTTGTAGAAATCGTTTAAAGTATTCCATGACGAGATGACATTCAGTGTGTTAAACGAATATTTAACTAGGAGTGGAAAAGTTTGAGTTGTATTTTTTGCTTATAAATAAAAAAGAAATATAGAAAAAGTAGGACATATCTTATGGTGTTAATTTGATCTGATTTTTGAAGGTTACATACGAATCGTACTTCTGTTTCAAGCATGTTATTTTATGAAAACTAATTGTGAGCTAACTCTTCTGACGTACATCATTTCGTGTCTATTGGATGCGGTAGATGGTTGTGCTGCACGCGCGCTAAACCAAAGTAAGACTATTTCAGTAAAGTCTTTCAATGATTTCATTCAGGTACGAAATTTGGTGCTATGTTGGACATGATTGTTGACCGATGCTCGACAATGTGTTTATTGGCTTGTCTTACTTATTTTTATCCATCATACATGCTTTTTTTTCAATTCAGTATGATTGTGGACATAGCTAGCCATTGGTTACATTTACACAGGTGAGAATTCATTTCGTTATTACTGGTTTAGTTCTGTTTTATCGGGAAAATCAAGTCATAAATTTATAGATCTTAAAGCAAATCGATTTCTCAAATTGTACTATACAAATAGGGTAGGTCATGTCGTTTCCAAAATTTATTCTTCATTATATATAGGTCATTCTTTTCTTGATGTGTGCAGGAAATGAGCTTTTCTATACAACGCTCTATATATACCATTTCTATACTGGACCAAAAAGTAAGTCTACACATTTCATTTTTCGTGTTATACCGTAAGATCATACAGCTATAGACAGTCAATGGTTTGTCTGTTCGCGAGATAAAGCTTGAATTCTAGCTCATCATTTATGTACCAATTTTGCTGATTCTAAGTCTTTAAGCGTTCTCTGGAACGAAATCACAACCCATTTAAAACCAGTCATAAAGAGTACA